AGTTGTAACTTCAAATCATACTACTGCTACTTTGACAACCTCTGTCGTGGGGAGAGGATTCAGAATTCAGAAGTTTACAAATTCAGACACAAATTCAGAATTCAGAAGTTCAGAGACCCGGAAATCCAGAGACTCAGAATTCAGACACAAATTCAGAATTGAAACCCAAAAGCGAAGAACATCAAGCACATCCAACAACGTGCCATTCTTCATCAAATTCCACAGTGATTCAAGAACAAACTCGTACAGCCCTTGTATCCAACCAACCAAAAACAAGGAGATTAAATCAGAGAACCATTCTTTTTTTGTAAAAGATATTACAGAGGATTGTACTCCACATTCATAAATTAATAAAATTCTATTTTGCTCCATATTTTGTTTCTATTGCAGACTTACAAAATTTGTGTGTACAGTGGCTATACTTAATTCTTTATCATTCATCAAATGGAAAATTTGTTTGTTTGTTTTATTTTTTATTTTTTTGTTTTTTTGTTTTCTGCTTATGTTTATCTTACTACCTTTTGTGCTGTAAAGGTACTCCTTGTATCACTGACTGCGTAATGGCAGAGCTCGAAAAGTTAGGTCAGAAATACCGAGTTGCTTTGAGGTACTCATGTTCTTCACTCAAGAAGTCTTGCTTCTGAATATTCATTCAGTTCTATTGCCTCCCATTGTTCCTATTCTTTTTAGCTATTTGAAAACCAAAATATCTAATACATGCGTTTATGGATATATTTCCTTGTTATTTTCAGCTATTATGTTTATATTTTCTTGTTCTTTTCAGCTTTTTGAAAATAAAATTCCTCTCATACCTTTTTTCTTTTATATTAAAGACTACAATAGCTGTGAAAAGGATGAGAAATGTGTGTACTTTGCAAGAACTGTGCAATGATATGCATTAAATAGTAGAACTTAAATGCATCTGAGCTTTGAACTTAAAACATTTTTTTTTCTCTCCTTTTGCTTTGAAATAGGATTGCAAAGGATCCTCGATTTGAAAGACTTCCTTGTATTCATAAAGGAACATATGCTGATGACTGTATCGTCGATAGAGTTACACAGGTACTATTTGGATCCAACTATCTGCAATGCCACATTTTCTTGTGCCCTGGACCTCAAATTACATTTAACTTTTGTTTGCAGGCTGTATATTTTTTTTGTTAATTTTAGGACTTCTCTACAAAGTTAACCATCCTTTAGGATTCTATAATGTCAACCATCCTTTAGGAATTGTGTCTGATCATGGTATCAGTATTCCAATATTTCTGTGCTGGCTTTTGTGATGTAGGGAACACTCTCTTGTCCTTACACCTCCCCTTTAAAGGGGCACAGACATCACTCAAGTTATTAGCTGGTGGTTGATGTGTGTCAATAATAAAAGACACTTGCAATAGGACGAATCCTTGTAGGATAGGGCTATATTGAGGGTGTCGAACCTCAAGGACCGTGTTGGTACTGTCAAGTATAAAATTAATCCCGATTTGATTCGAGAGAAAGATGATTTTGTTGTTTTCTATTTCTAAACTGCAATAAAACTGAAAATAAACTAAATTATTGAGAATAGGTATCAAGATAATGGGGATTAAGGGGAATGACTTCATCACTAGCCTCATAACATGGTCAATTGTCTCAACGATGGGAGATTCACACTTATGCATATTTGGGAATCAAGTGGGTACAAACACACTTCAATTCAATTAAGAAGGTATATATGAATAAACACTAAGCCATAACTTATCTTTTGTTGGCACGAATTGTCTACCTAACTATTCTAATCGACCATGCAGTTCAACTCGTCTTCCGTAAGCATAAATTATCAAAACATTCATTCATATAATCATTAAGCACTATTGCATGATAACCACTTCTACCATTAAGAGAAGTCTTTAGCCGCCAATCTCTCACAATATAAGAGGTTTGAACTCAATTAAAACAAAATTAATTCTAAGACAAGAGATTAATTTTATTAAAATTGATTTTTTTTTTTTTTTTTGGTAAGTTAATAATTTAATTAAATAGTTATTTACTAATAATGACTGATGGAGTGGGGATTCGAACCTTGGCCTTTGGCCACAAACAATCTTCAAAACCCTAAAAGCCGCCACGAAGTAGAAGAAGCTTATTGTGTCCTCTCATCTTCTTTTATAGTAGAGAACAAGTCTCAATCCCTCTTGGATGGGCTTTACAGCTTTTGGGGGCAATTAGGCCCATAAAAGAACAAAGAAGAGAGATTTTACAACTTTTCCGCAGCTTTTGGAAACTTCTGGGAGGTTAGTGCTCGAGCTCTAGGTCCTTGTGCTCGAGCACTAGGTCTAGTGGTCGAGCTGTAGCTTAACACTTAGTAATTTTTTTGTCTACATTTTTTTTTTTTGTCTACATTTTTTGAAGCATCTTTTCCTTCAATACTTGGTTTTTTTCTTGAATTTCCCTGATTAGTGCTCGAGCTCTGACACTTAGAATTTTTTCTCTGCTTTTCTTCACTCAGTGCTCGAGCTCTGTAGAGTTGTGCTCGAGCACTAAAGATCTGTGCTCGAGCTCTAAGGCTCTAATTTCTCTAATTCTCCCCGGTTGACTTCCAAATTGACTCTAAAGACCCGAAGTATCTCCTTAAGCATTGGGAACACCATTCCAAGCTTCAAATCCATGGAATTGTCCGTATCTTTGGGTAAAGACCTGCAAATAGTAAATTCACAAAAACAAACAGAAGAACCGAAATAAAGGCATCGCTAAGGCATTAACATATGCACGTTTAAGGGCTCGAATATGCAATATGCAGCGCTTATCAATGGTCAGTCTTTTTTGTACTTTCAAGTAGGATTTTTATTTAATTAAGTTAGACTAGGTATAATGACAACATTTTATCCAGAAAAAGAAATAAAAGACCACAATTCAAAGCGATATCATTTGCTTGGAGATTGTACTGTTTGTATTTGATTTATTGGATCCTGTGTTTTCCCATCCTTATCTTAACCTTTGGATCCAGAACATTTGCATTACATGTTGATTTAAGATATGGTATTGAAAACTAAAATCCTAAAAATAAATTTTTTTTCACGGTAATTATCTACTGAACTGGAACTTATGTTTCATTTGTTGAACTAAAATCGAATCTAAGGCTTTTATCAACACTATCCTGAAAATGATCTTATTAATGCTTGCAATAGTATTGCATATATTTTTACTTTTGGGTACATTAAAATCCCTGCCTGGAACTAACGGTGTTCACTTTTTAAATTCAGAAAATTTTATACACAGAATATACTGTTTGAAATTTTGTCATTTTGTTGATCAATTGTTCAACTTAGATTCTTCTCGACACAAATTATTGCCATTTGCTATCTTAATGTCAAAGTGACTTTTAATTTGAGAAAAGTCGGTATATATGTAGTTGTGAATTTAGATTATAATTTCTGAAATGTTAGGAAGGGTAACAGATCAGCTTATGTAGTTGTGCATTTATTTGGGGTTAGGGGTGAAAGAGAAGGTATAAAATAACGTAGCACTAAGCTAGCTGCAAACTTTGCATTAGAATGTGAAATCTTGGCAATTTTGCAGAATTGCATTTGATGGACGGTCTTGAATGCCCAAACAATCGGTTCCACTTCTCAAACATTCCATTCATGCTTATTGTTAGAAAGTTAAAAAATGATGTGCGTCCAGTTCAATAGTCATGAAGGCTTACTGAATCATCCACTGCACAGCTGCAGGACAATCCTTGGTCCTTAAATGCACTTGGTCGTTTATTGATTTATTTTTCGTGATTGAGAGCATACCCAAAGTCCAAACGCTACATGTTATAAGTACTGACTGGCCCATGTTAGTGATTCTACTGCATTGTGAATAAGCAGCGTATCTATGACATCTGCACCCATTACACACGCCTACCTGTCCATAGGGGCAGGGAATGGAGTGGGTTGGGGTTGGGTTGCACCCCCAAAGTGTAACTGTTTTCTTTTTTTCCACCATTTTTTCTAGGGAAGAAAATTTCCACCATTGGACTTGATGAACATTCCAAATTTTGTGCTGTAAATATTGTTTTCTATCAGTATCTCAGCAACCGTCATTATATATATATATTTTTTTTTTGTAAGGTTAAGCGCACACACACACACCGATGCCTCCATTGAGGCTCGAACACCCAACCTCCCCTCTAGGGAGGAGGGCTTGTACCAATTGGGCTATTGCCCATTGTATCTGATGTTAGCATGGCTTTGAAAACTAAATTTCAAAAAAAATTATGTTCCATGAACTTTTATTTGTTACTTCATAATCTTTATCTTCCATCATTCTTTCTCCTTTTTCTTTATTTTTTTATTTTTTATTTTTTATTTTTTTTTGGGTGGATGTCAACAGAATTGCTCATATTTTTCTCTTGCATTTTTCTTATTCTTCTCCTGCGGCCAATTTACATAAATTATAATGTTTGAAACAGCATAAGTGCTATATTGTTGCAACATGTGATTGAGATCTGAAGCGAAGGATCCGCAAGGTACCACAGGTTACCAATTGCTTGGTGTTTTGTTAATCTATTGGTACTTTGAATGTGATGCATGATATTGGTGTTCTACAGGTCCCTGGAGTGCCGATTATGTACATAAGGATTCAATCGAGCGGTTGCCTGAAGCAACTATTGGCGGAGGTAGGCTAGAAACTTTAAAGCTTTAGCTGCAAATTTTTTTTTTCCCCATCAATGTTTTCTCTCATGTTTGGCTGGTGGTATTTTTGGTGCAGCTCCAAGAATTTAGTACCATGAGTGCATTAGTGTGATTTGGCGCGAGGGAAAGCCTGTGGTTGTCTAATGTCTACTTATGTGATCGTGCATTTTGGAAAATGGAATGCCCTTATGAAGCAGAATAGGAATCGAGTTTATTCTGCTTTTATCTGCAGCTATATTGATCATTGTTGTGGACTTTTCGGAGCTCAAGACTTTAGTCTTAGCTGAATAATCCATTAGTTGAACTGTAAATTTCGAGAACTTCCAACTACGCAGTAAAATGTAATGCTTGTTGAGACCTACACCCTCCCAATTTCAAGGTGATCCATTATGGTCTGCGTATAGCATTGATTTCTTTTTCCATACAAACAACAGGAGAAAATTCGTTTTGAATAAGTTCTATGTTTTGAACCGGAGCAAGTAGGTTCGTTCATTTTGCAATTGAGGGCTTGCCATATCAACCACCTGATGTAAAAATATGAAAGCTGAATGAGCCATTCATGGATAAGAAAAACAGAAGATTAAAAACAATATAAATGGGGGTATTTATTACCTCGAATCCAATTTTTTGGTACAGGTCCTGTGCAGGACTGTTATTTCTATGCACATGCACAAATACCTCTTCTGCACCTGCGATATGAACAACAGCTTCACAAGTGATGTATTTTCTGCTGCTTCTGATCATCTATAACATATTCAAAAACAAATTAAAATGCAAGTGCAAATGAATGTTTTGTATTACCATTAGAGTTGGCTGATTCAATAGCAAAATGCAACATGTTTCTGGCAATACCCTGGCGACGTGCTGACTTGGCAACACATAAGTTTGCTATGTAACCATATTTGTTCGAGTCCTTTCTGCTGATGCAGCAGAAGAGGTGAGTTTTCACCATTTCCTGCAAGCAGAACAAATATCCAGTTTTTAAAAAACTGGATAAAAAGCTTGCAATTTAGATGCAGTAGTTAGAGCATGTTTTACCCCGGGAAAGGTCTCTCCATACAACAAGCATCGAATGCTCAAATCTAGGGTTCCAACTACACTCTTAAGTACGGTACGTTTCACATTCGTCTCTTCCTTCTTCACCTAACAGTTTTGAAGCACACTAGATCAATAGCTTTGTTGCGATCATGAAAATATACACATGCTCTCAATAATATGTAGTGTTGGTGTTACTCAACTGGAACTTTTGATTTCCAGATGAGCTATAATAAATATTTAATCCTGACCAAATAAATTTAAATGGAAACAGAAGTATAATGTTGTGGAAACATCAAACCGCCACAATGCAGCTGCATTTCTGCCCAAGTTTCACTTTGCTTCGCCTTTTTAACGCGTTAAACTCCTACGAATTTGGGAAATATTCAGAATTTTATACATGATATATATATATACTCCTTTATGCATTCTCTGCAATTAACAAAGGATTTTATCTGAATTCCTACCTGCTCTGCAAATTGTCTTTTGTAGTTATCGGCATATCTGTGTTATCAAGCAGAGCCTAGAATCAGTGGCATTCAATTCTTCCACTTCTATAAATTAAGACATTTATAAAGCCAATTGGATTTAGCACTTGTTTAAATTATTATATTGACTCAGAAGAAAACGAGAAAATAGTTCATTTTGTGAAATTTGTTTTGAAAAATAGAGTACATACCGGTCATTATTCTGATCCTCCCAGTGAGTTTCTGCTCGAAGCCAAGCTGCTGTCTACCAAATACACAGAGCACAGCGAAAACAAGAAATACTGAGAAATTTCATGGCTTAGAATATTTCTCATAAGAATATATATATATATATACAACTTACCCAAAATTCTTCATCAATTAGAGGCTCACGTGCCACAAAATTCCCGAACTCAAATCTATTTTCTTGAATGAACTCTTCATCTGATGGCTGGAGCCGGTCAAATCTAAGATTGGATGTAGTTATTGTTTCTAATGGAGTCGCAGAAAGTTTGCGAGGTTGTATTGAAAGTTCTTCTTTCGTACTCGTCAGAAATGATTTAGAATTCAGTGTCCTGTCGATTTACAGATGTTAAGTTTGTTCATCAATCTCATCGACCCATTCGATTATGCGAATAAGAAATAGCTATGGAGAGCAATAGACATGCCAAACTTGGCTAAAGTACGAAAAGGTTAAAACCAAAACATTCATGTTTCAGAAATTGATTATGTTCCAAAAAATAAAGTTGTGTTCGTAAGAAAGAAAAATCCAACTCTAGAAATTTGTTTGACAATACTCACATTGTCCAAGAAGCAGAATAAATCCTCCGAAATTTGTGATGATTTCTAATTCCATAGCATGAAGTTCTCAAGAAACAACCAGGTCTTTGTAATGGAATCATCCACATCAGAATCAGAGCTAGCTTGCTACCTCCAAATTGGATTACCTTAGACAAAAGCGAAGAACTAAAACTAAGGAGAAACAACAAATTGTATTGCTTCTTACTTGCAAGGATACACAGAAAAACAATTCACAAAGAACAATAAAATAAAAAAAAGTCTTATAGTTTTGAGCTAAAAAACAGTGTAGCTGGCAACCAGAACAAGCGAAATTAATGATTTATAAAGACACAGTTCTTAATATAATACAAGATTTTGGTGCCTGTCAATTAGGTGGCGGGCCTATGTATAAAATTTAAAACTTGATTTCTTGTGATTACAATTATCACCATACTTATCCAACAAAAGCCTAATTAAATTCTTTTAAAGAAGAAAATTCGGGCACATCCAGCTCAGAACTATTATGTTATTGGGTAATAATAATATAAATGAAAAAATATCAATGAAATAACGATGTTAACTTCCTAAATAGACAATAGTTGAACAGGTTCAATGAAAATATGAGTGTGTGTGTATTCATTGGTGGTGGTGATGAAGGCTATGATTTCATTTTTTATATTTTATGATAATTTTAAATAAATTAATTAAATGAAATCCAAATAGCAAGTTGGTCCTTTACTAGATATGGATAAAGGCTGTCAACAGATATTAACTGCGACAAATGGGCTTGTCTTATTGGTAGTTGAAGAATGGGTTCGATGTTCGGGAAGATTGAATGGTGATGTGGAGCACACAATTTGGAAGTGGAAACCACTAGCGGCAATAAGGTGATGAAGAAGTCATTGTCAGGAACATGTGGAGACCTAGCAGCCAACTCTCTTTCTTTCCATCCTCACATTTAAAAAACAGTATTTATAAAACTCAATTATAGTTATGATTTTGACCATACACACACATATAACTTGTATTATTGATTCTTAAATATCTTAGTTTTACGCACAATCAATCAATGGATGGTGAGTAAATTACATATAAATAAATAGGCATATAAATACGTATAAATAAATAGGCATACTTGTAAAAATCCTTACATCATATAAAGTGTTTGGATGGACTCTACTTGTATTCACTTCAAATTTTAGGTAGGTTAGTTATTTAGGTTCCAATTTTTGGGGCTAATTGGAGATTTGAATTGAATTTCCTTTTGTGGTACACAGGTGTTGGGCCTCTTCATATTGGGCTTTGAATTTATAACTGGTGGCCTAATTGAGTTTTCTTCTCGTATTGGGCTTTGGGCATTTTATTGTATAGCCCAACCCCAATGTAAATATTTTACATTACATATACAAATTGCTTGAATTTCCAAAAAAATAAAAAATAAAAAATAAAAAACCAAAATATTTTCTGGCATATTGATCTATCCAGAGGCATGTCTTCTGTTCAAGGAAGCATTGATAGGTGATACGTGATAGATCCAAATAGATCGCCAGTTAGCAGTTTTCTATCAATGGACATTAATTTACAACATATGAATTTTGTTGGAAATAGAAATAGTATCACACAGGAATCCGCAAAAATAAAAAAATAAAAAAAAAAATAAAAATAAATGTAAATTCGAAGATTACGGTGGTCTGGAACCCATTACATTCTGCAGTAAATTCTAAAGATTAAACAACTTCTAATATTAACTTTAATCGAATTATATGATATCTACCTATATATTAATAATGAATTAGTTGTTAAACAAGTACTCCAATTTGTAAATAATTTGGATTTTGTCTTACGGTGGTATTATTGCTTTAACTTCATAATTTAACCTAATTTATAAGCATTTAAATAATAATAATAATAAATTAAGACATAATCATGAAGTTGTTCTAATCAATATTTTATTTTATTTAAACATCAGACCATTGAGAAAAATCATTTTCTGCCACATTTGATCTATCCAGAGGCGTATCTTCATTTCAAGAAGTTTAGATAGGTGATAGATATAAAGAGACGTCAAATTAGCAATTTCCTGTAAATGGGGCATTCATTTACAACATATGAAGTTTGATGCGGGACTATGAGTCTTTTCTTAGAAAAATAATTGGGATAATTTAAAGGGCAAACTGCATTACAATGAAAAACAGCACTCACGGGGCTCTCTATACATTAAACATCCAAAGGCCACACTATAGTGACCCCAAAATTTGTCACACAGCATTTGCAAAAAGCACACATCAACAAACACTTTATGGTACAACTAAATAAACCCATAAGAAGAGTCTTCACTTCAGCCTTCAAAATCGGTTTTCACCCACTGCCCATACTTGTTCTTCATCTTCTCATCCAACTCCTTGGCCTTAATCTCTGCAATTTTCGCTGCATTTGCCATGGACTCCTCCTGCACTCTTGCAATCCTCCGGCTCCTCTTCTTCGCCGTCACTTCTCTTTCTGCTTCCAGTCCTTCGTACTCTCTCACCCAACAGCTATGTACAGCACAAGCCAGTACTAACACCCCTAACTGCATTATAAACATGGCCATCAAAATCCCACATTCCAATCTCACCAATAGCTTGGCCTCTCTCGGGTCCCTATTCGACTTTATCATCGAAAGGCTAGATTTTTCTTTTGTGAACAAGGCTAAAATGCAGAATAATTGACCGATTGACGAGGCAAGGATGAGGGAAACATGGGTTATGAAGCAAAAGTGGGTGATCTGAGAGTAGAAACCTACAAAAGAGGAGACAAGTGAGATGCAGGAGACCATGAGGAGTGCCCAACCCAGTGAAGTTGGTGGCATTTTCAGGACAACAATGGGGGCAACAGAGGCTGCAGAGATGATGAAGAGAATGAAATTCAAAAATGAGAGGAGAAGAATTGGGAAGGAACAAGATTTCCTGAGCTTAGAGGAAGCCATTTGGGGAATTCTGTGATTGATCCAGAGGAAGGGGCAGAAGAAAGACAGTGGATGATGGTTTTGCTTTGTAAGGAGAGGTGGAAATTTTGAATTTTTATACTAGGTATATTTGGCCGTTAAGGGACACAACGGCTAAATTGGGAGGTCCCACTTTTTGCCTCGAGTGATGCATCGATCCCTCCCCACGGGCTTAAATCTGGATTTTGATGATGTATAGGTTTTTAAATTTTGGAAGCGTGGAGAATGTAGCAACGGGTAGAGCCCACAGCCCCTTCTTTAAGATTTCTTTTTTACTTTTTAATTTTCTTAAGCACCTTCTTAAAAATTTAATATTAATGATTTAAGAATTTAAAATTGCTGACCTGTGCATATGATCTTAATAAGGAAAATGGTCTTAATAATATGACTTATTAAATATATACACTTTTCATTATGTGACATGGATAACGTGGTATCACCGGTGCAGAGAATTCTTTTTCAGAGCACTCTGAGAGTCCACCTGGCCTTTTACCAAAGTTGGCAAAGCAACTACCAACTCCTAAGTTTGAGCTCTTGAAAGTTCCCAGGAGCTGCCTGATCCATGAAACCGGTGGAGGAAAAAGGCACTGTACCAGGAAGATAATGGTATAACTTGAAAACTACTGGTGCCAAATGATGCAAATGCTTTGCTGCATTTTGGTTCTTGCACAACCATGGTAATGAAATAACTCTAATCCACCACCATCCATGGCGCGCACACTATGTAGTCAACTGCGTGCACCTGAGCATTTTTTATTGTCCTAAGCAGCATAGCTTAGGTATGAGAGGTGCATGCCGAGGTTACATTTCCGAAGAATTAACAGCAAGTTTGCCAAGTGCGGCGAAGGATCTCCACAGAGTTGGGCAGCCTCTGCAATAAATGCACCTCAGTGGAAGGTATAAAACAGTTCAAGTGGAAGCTGTCTAAAAGTAACTCATGCTATCTACTCAACTGTGTCATAAAACCTTAAACTGATGTAACCAGAAGCAGTTAATCTGTAGCTACTGGAGTACGCAATACCTACTGGGTGAAGAAGGTATGTGGTTAGTACTCCCATATCAACATACTTGAGCAAGAAAAGAAAATAGAAGTAAAATAAAAGGAAACCAAAACAAGCTGTTATGATAATATAACTAGATAAAGCCATTCGAATACACAGAAGGCCAACACTGTAAGAAACTATTTCAATTTAATTACTACCTTCTGATGATGTAGATCCCCCATCAACAACTCTACAATCCCACCTTAAAGGACCATTACATGAGAATAAAAGAAAATCACATACACGATCAATGTACCTCCTCCAGCTCCTGCTGATCAAGCCAAAAATAAATAAATTGTTCCGTAAGAAACATAAAAATGTTAATACAAAAGTTGCAGTCAAAACCTTCCAAATAAAATTTAGAAAAAAAAAAATTGCAGAGTCAAAATTCACAAAATTGTCCAATGATGACCATGTCCACTATTTACATGAAACAGTAACAAATAACATACAGTTTGAATCACAGTTGAAGGATAGAAGCAAAAGATTCATGATTTTTGTGTATCCAAACGGTACATGCCTGTCATGTCAAAGGACTCATCCACAAAATGTTCATATCAATAGAAATAAGGTCATTCGTCAATCTTACAATGCCCATATTCTAAACGGCAGGAAAAAAACACAAATCAGCATAACTAACAAAACAAACAAAAAAATTGGGAAAATGTTACAATGACGATAATGGAAAACTACAACAACTTTTTGTGGTTCCAAATGCTCCAAATTATACTGATTGAATATGAAAGCTGCAACGATTCTTTTAACATTCTTCGTGGGAATCTTTCCAAAAAAGTCATAACTGGTCCATGGGAGTTCAAATTCCCTTGGGACCACACTCGGGGAGAGAGAGAGAGAGAGAGAGAGAGAGAGATACCTGGTCCTTTGACAGGTATCATTTATGATGTATGTGTTAAAATGGTCTCAATTCTGTCAAGTGATGCTTGTAAACGTCCTGACTCCATGTTGAACAACTTTTCACCAGTGCCCACGGCTCTGAAAAAGCCAAAGTTCAAACCATGAGCAATTCCTAGAACTGTGATATATCACAATTCAAACATTGAGAAAACAATTACATCTAAAAACAAAAACTCTAGTAAGTTCCTCTGAGTGAATGCAAAAGACCAGGGAACTTGCCCAGTAAATTCTGGAAGAACATAGTCAGCTTTCCAGGCAAACCGGAAATCCACACCAGGGCACAAACCAAGTGATGTCTTATTCCGAATCCGAGATAGACCATCTCCACCCAAACAAGTAGTAAGCTTCCATTTCCAACCAGTTGTTTTCATCTGAAAACTATGTCCAATACCAACCTGCATTATTTCAAGAAATCAATCTTGATGCATTGATTTTAAACATCAGGACGCGTACTATCGTTAATATCTACACCATCCGATATGTGTCATATAAATTCTGGAAGATGCATGCATCTGAACCCCGTGTTCATGACTCATGGGAGAGAGAGAGAGATCAAAGCGAGAGCATCAAACCTGGAGATTTAAAAATTTGGTTATTGGGATTTTCTTAGAAAGAAGCCGCACATCATTGTGTATTGGTTCATATATGAACTTCCATCTCCTATCATGGGCTAGAGGTTTCAACACTAGCTTTGCCTGGTACTCGTTTGTTGGAGCATTATAAAACTGAATCAGCAGGATGAACTCAAAAAATTAGAATATTGACAACATTTGACACACATCTATAAAATAGCAATGGTTACAGTCACAGCCAGGAGAAGTAAACATGATATACAATATTGCTAGCCTAATATGTTACATGTTCTTTGCAGGTGTGAGTCCAATCCACACGTCAGCTCTCTCAAACCCAGATCTTAAGCAATTTACATACACCTTCAGCTTTTAAGTATACATTTTTCTTATTATATTACCAGAGAGAAGAAAACCATCAATGTAACATACAGTGTCCAACATGGAACATCGTTCTTTAGTTATGGATTACATGTGGCAAAATATAAAGGACTTCATTCTTTTCCTTTATTGCACATGCTTGCCAAGCACTGCTTCTATAGTATGCATGTCCAACACATATCCACATCCCCAATGCTTTGCCAACATACAGGCCGTTACCTAGTGCTGGTCCTGCCCATGCTGAGTGCTCAGAGGGGAAGACTAGAGGCATAATAATTGGAATTATTTTGCACAAAAATAACATTATCCAACATACTTGATATATTTCAAACTTCGAAGTGTCAGAGATACGGCTGGTCCATGTTTGATCGACTAACAAAGCTTCATTGTCTTCCCCTTTTGAACGCTTTTTCAATACAATCTTACTTATCAAAAATAAAAAATAAAAAACAAAGCTTCAGTGTCAAGTCCTCTTTAGCATGACATACCTCAGGCACTCATATTCAGCGGTTTATAGCTAAGTTACCTTCAAACAGGCAGTAGCAATTATGCATAAAATCCCAACTCCTTACATTTAAAGATTTATTTATAAACTAGGAAAAACATTCACGGAATAGAGGAGAAAAAAGAATTTTTTTATCAAGCTTACTTTGAAGTCGAAAACAATACTTGTGTTGTGTATTCGGTTTTATATAAAGCTTAAGGGTTGTGGGAACAAAATTTGAGTTATATCAGTTCCATGCAGGGTAAGGTTAAGTACAATAGATTATTTTTTGTTTTCAACGATTTTAAGACCTATAATTTATGAATAGGCCGTGGTGGAAAAGCTAGGTAGACTAAGAAAATAGATCAATAACAAATATTTGAAAGAGCTTCAGTCTAACCCTCCAAAACACCCCCCCCCCCCCCAACACCCAAAAAAATAAAATAAAAACCTTCTTTCATTTTCATCAATTGTTCTAAAAACCAAGAAAAAGAAGAGGTATTATAAAAGAAAATAAAACCAACAGAGTTTAGTACCCCATTTCAAGTTTGAAGAAATTGTTTTGCGATTTACAGAAAAACATTCATATCATCAGTATAATGTTTTTATCAAAGAAACTTTTCCACATGGAAGAAACCTTAACACAAAGTAGAGAAAAGAAACATTTTCCATTCGATCAAATCTAGCACACATTCATCTATTTCCACACAATTAGCCCTTAGTAAATACAATAATTCCAGATTACCACAAATATTGAAATAATGAATCCCATTAGACTTGATCACAAAAAAGAATTTCCCTTGAACTCTCAAAAACAGCAATGAATGAACAAACAAAGCATCAACAATTGAGGACTCAAAAGCAGTAAAATAAATTGTATTTAAAGTAGCTGATGAACGAAATGCATGAAGAGATACCTCCAAATTGACCCCAACACGGAACCCCTCAATTTCTTTCCGGAACTTGAGGAACAACTCCGACGGCATTAAATTGATATTGTACAGTTCATCCCACGAAGGAGGTTCTTCACCACTCAAACCCGGCTCCATTTTTAACTACAAAAGAAAATTTAATCAAACCATGTGTTCCATTACCTGGGTCTCTCCAATCTAAACCCAACTACCAAAACATAGTAACAAAAACACATCAAACTTTAATTTCTTATTTTTCATTTATGTGTGCATATTCATATAGATTTAGAGTTCCAAAAAAATCACACACTGAAAATATGTTGTTCCTTGTGTGTGTAATCTGTATTATGTGTTTCTCACGAAGCATACAAAGATGTAGAGATATAGAAAATTCATACCAACTATATGCATACGCGTAGAACTGTATCCAAAAGTATACAATTTATACACGACCTAGGTCCAAAAAGGGCTCTTATTTATTCTTCTCCTCTCAGGGTTTGGATGTGGACTCCAAGTTCGACTACAAAATAAAATTCAATCAAACCATGTTTTCCCTATATCTAGGTCTCTCTAATCGAAACCCAACTTTTCGTTCTTGAACTTAATTACTCAGTAACAAAAACAAATCAAAAATCGAATTTTTTTCTTACTTTCATTCATAAGTGCATACCGTTAAAACTTAAAAGGGTTCTAAAACATCACACTCTGGAAAACGTAGTGCGAGGAAAATGTGTGTAATCTGTGTAATATGTGCTACACACAAAGCATAAAAAGATTGAAAGAAATAGAGACATAGAAAATTCATACCCAGTGATTGTATATGCGTAGAACTGTCTCCAAAATAACAAATGGTTCTTTCTTTCTAATTTTTCTTCCTCTTCAGGGTTTGCACAGTGTCATCAGAATAAAAGAAAGGAGGGGATTATTTTTGTGCGCTCTGCTTGCTGGTGTAGACTCTGTGCCAGTGAGGAGGTCCATTTGGGCTAATGTTTGGTGGTAAGGCGCCTATGGCCCAGTGTGATTTTATTATCAAATTTTGAAAGAAAAATAAAACAAATGGAAGGATTTTAATGAGTTAGTTTTTGTGAAATGGGAAGGAAAGGTTATTATTCTTAATAAAATTTTATTAATATTAAATTTGTCTTTATTTTTATAAAAAGATAGAAGTTTATGAAAAAGTATAGGGTAGATTGATAATAAATTTATTAAAATAATTTATTCTTAGATTTTTTTCTTTGCTTTTTATTACTATCATTTTCTTTATCAATCCACCAGACACAATAAATGATTCACACGATTGACCATTTCTATTGATGAATAGGGAGATAAATGAAGCCAGGATCCTTGTTGGGTTTCAACCAATTAAATATGTTTTTAATTTTATCTATCTTAACCATATTTAATGGGTTGACCAACAGAATAAATGTGTTAAAATATCTATCTATATATATATAATATAATAATTCAGGATTAGTTATTGAATTCAATTAATGTGAGAGAGTAGTGCGTAACAACACCACTCACATGAATTAAAATCGATACGATCCGTAAATTATTATTCAAAAATTAATATATTGACAACTTACAACACCAGTATAGCATATAATAGTTATAATAGAGGCTTTGGGCACATTAGATAAATGTTGATTTTCTTTTTTAAAGTGTTCAAAGAAGGACAAATGATACACTTTTGGTTGTATTGGACTCACTAAAGTTGAGGTATGGAGTTAAATAATGCACATCAGCACATGATTTGTGGGTGAGTGAAAGTGTAAGGTCTAATGGCATGTTTGGTTTGAGGAAAGGAAGAGAGGAAAGAAGCAATAAGGGACTAAGCATCCATCCTTGCTTTGTATTTTTTTTATCCGTCCAAAATGGAGGGAAGATGAGAGAAAGAAGGATAATAACCATTTATCTAAAGAAAAAATAATAATAACCAACAAATATGATATTTTCATTTTTAACCTTCCAAAAATTTGTTGCACGCTTTAGAATGGATATCTAATTTTTATAAATTTATATAATGAAGGTATATTGATAAAAACAATATACAAACTCTATTTTCCTTCCTTTCAAAAAAAAAATTACTATATGTCACCCCTTCTAAACTTTCTACACCCCATTTCATTCAACCAAACACAAAATTAAAGAGATATTTTCTTTCTTAGGATGCCTCATCCATTCATTCCCTTATTTTTCCATCCATTTTTCCTTCCATCCAACCAATGGAGCATATAGTGACTAAGTAATTGATTATTTGTTTATTAATTGTCTATGGTAAGGAATAAAACTTTTTAGGGATCAATTAATGAATGCATTGTTTCTTTTTAAAATTACTAAGTTATTCTTAAAAGTTTATATATATATATATATATATATATATATAAGTTCGAAAATATTTATGAAAAGATGTATTTAATTTACATGAATTTTTGAAGAGGGGCAATATTTTGGGAAAATCCAAAAAAGAAAGATTAACAAGTAATATGAGACAGAATATATTTATTGTATATATCTGTAACTGATAACTCAAAAGGTAAAGAGGATGAGGATTAACTTCGGGCGTTATAATGTGAAAAGGAGTGTTGGCAATATTAGGCATTTATTAATACTTTGATTTTTCAAAGTGTTTTTTCACACTAGACCTTTTTTTTAAGTTGAAAAAGTAGGAAATAAGTATGGGACTATCGGTTCATTTTTTGAACTTGGACATATATAATATAGGAATAGCTGTCTCGGTATTGTAAACACTTGTTTGGAACAACCACGTGTTACAACTGACTTGGGTTGGTCAAGAACCTTAAACAAAATCAACAATGGATGCAATAATTCTATGGTTGTATTTAGTGTCCCAATCATATAATTTACCATTAAAACTTTGTTTTCCTTTCCCCTTTTTCTACTGAAGAACACTTCCTAAGGGATGGATGTTTTTGCAGCAGGACCGTCATTCTCTTGGGGTAAAGAAATCCAATACTACAATATATTGGCTCTCTTCTTGGGTAAAGAAATCTGATAACAATGCATATCCGAGTCCGTAAAGCTATATAAAATGTAAATAAAAGACAAGAGACGAGAGACAAAAGACAAAAGTTGGTTGGCAATGTAAGTTCCAGGACATTCAACAAAAGTTCCACTGAGTTCCATTGGATAAGTATTACATGATTACCATAATTCCACTTTGATTTACTAAACAAAGTCCAACAAGCAACTCTCATGCACACAAGACTAGCTACTTTTACAAAACAGACAGGAGTTATACACGCATGCAATACAGGACAATGGACTACACGGTGCCTGGCAGATTCTGCGGAAACATCGGTGACAGTGCTGCTGATCTTGGACGTTTTGGGACATACTTGCGCACCCACACATGCTTCCCATTGATGGTAAACTTAGCTTTGTCCAGACCATTCAGAACGATTTCAATGGTTGACGGCATGTGGAACACAATCCGAGCAAACAGCGCCTGCTCATTAGCCGGAACATCCTGCATAAGCACGGACTCAATGCAATCCCCATAAGCCAGGGTGAAGAACTCCCTGACTTCCCATTCAGAAACAGGGTAGCCCTTAGAGAATGTGACAAACATGGTCCTGTCATCTTGTGGCACCACATTTGCTTGGGTCCACCCCTGGAACGAACCACTACTTCCTCCAACTACCGAGTGAGAAATGCCTGGTTGCACAAAAGACTGATGACAAGGAGGACTTGAAATAGGCATCTGACTTTCTGCTAAGCTTAGGGCGGCATTTCTCTGAATGGCTTTCTGCATAATGTCAGTTAAAGCCCTATAACAAACCTGAGTTAAGACCTTGTTGACCCCACGATTTATAGCGACTCGATTTTCATGGAAAAATTGAAGACACACCTCATTTTCCGTCACGCATTGAGTCAAAGGAATATCACAGGGTTCGGATGAGAACAGAAATTGGTCATTGTTAATGCAGTTGAGGCATGTACCTGCTTCATCTGCAAGTTCATTTATCAAAATATGGGGCAGGGACAATATTTTCTTTATGACATTTTTAGAGCCCATTCGCTCCAACGAAAGCCAAAAGGCCATAATCTGCATTGACTCTAAAGGGTCACGCCAAACATCACTTACAAGAATTTTGTACAGCTCCCTGTCAATTGCATGAAACTGAAGGAATTGCTCTAGGGTAATGGTAAACTGTGTGGAAGTCATGATACAGTGTTGCCCCAAATGAAGAGATGCAGTGAAAAGATAGTAGCAAAAAACCTGCCCACACAAGGTAACCTCAAATAAGGAAAATAATCAATCAATTCAAAATCAATAAAAAGTAAAGAGAGAGAGAAGTTTTAATAACATAACCAAAAGCGAACTCCCTGCATGGCCAAATTTACACCAAGAGTACCTCAACTCTTGATAAGATTTCATCACAATTTATTACAGCAATGGTGACTGTGTGTGTCAAAAGGCCTTACCTCTTCTAGAGATCCATGCAATGTAAGAGGAGAACAAAACCTAACCTTGGAATTTATGAGAAGGCCAATCTAGCTATTTAGGAGCGCCTGTCTCATGGATGTACTGTCTTGACCCTTAGATCAGAAAGGCGGCAACGAGTGTTCTTTTTCTTAAGACCTCTCACTCTCTGCAACCAAGATGCTCATAAAGTGGTGTTGCACCAACCCAATTTATAGGCAATTAAAACATAAAAAATATATATATAAAAACTGAAAATGACGTAATCTTGAAGTGGTTCTTATCAATGTTTTATTTAAACAACAGTGTCATTATGATTCTGCAATTGTTTTTAGAAAAAAATCATCTACCAAGTGGTGTAATTAATGTTTTCAATGTGATTATGGTAATCACAGGTGGACTCATCCACTATTTTTCCATTTCTGTCAGCTGAGTACCTGGCACAAGTGCACACGTCGAACATGTAGAGGAACAAGTGAATTAAAAAACTAAGATAATTAGCTTAGGCCTATCCTTAATCATCCCATGGCTTGTCCGGTTATAATAAGTCAAAAGTTGTTGTAACGTTCATCCTCTGGTTCAAACTCTCTTTTCCCTCCAATCCTAAACTAAGCGGGAAATGGCATGTTTTGGACTGAGAATCAATTGTTAAAATTAAAACCTAAATTTCTACAACATTAACTGGACCTATCTATAAGTAGTAATTGTGTATCGTTATGAAATGTATTTTACATTTTTCCCATATTGCGGTAGCTCAGCATAGATAGTTTCCAAATATATTTAACGACTTTTTAACTTTTTTCAGCTCTTGGACTGCATACAAGATTTTAAATTCTAGCATACAACGCCTAATATGGCACCTTGCGCTTTAAATTGACATAACTACAATGCTTCCAATTTCATTCATGAATTACCTATATTACCGGTTTTTAGTATTACCTGCATGGTCTCTATCTGATTGTTGCAGATTAATGAAGTCACTGTCGGCATCCCTGAAACTAAACCTGTTTGCAGTATAACTAATCACGCCGCCACCTACATATTTGGAATCCTCATAAATGTAACTTGCCGCTAACCTGTTTAAAGTTGATATTGTCGTCACTTGCCGTTAAAAAATGATGAAGGTATAAGTTGTCATCACTTGCCGTTGAAAAAAAAAGAAAAGGTAGAAGTTGTCGCCACTTGCCGTTAAAAAATGAAAAGGTAGAAGTTGTCGTCACTTGCTGTTAAAAAAAAAAAAAAAGAAAAAAAAAAGGAAGAAGTTGTCGTCACTTGCCCTTTTTTTCAAAAAAATTACAAGTTGTCGTCATCCAATTAATTATTGTTGCTCTGATTTTTTTCACATATTCCCCTACGTCACGAAGAGAATGCGACAATTTGAACACCTATCGGGAGTTTGGATGTGTTGCTGTTCTGATTTTTTTCACATATTCCCCTACGTCATGAAGAGAACGCGACAATTTGAACACCTATAGGGAGTTTGGATGTGTAGTTGAAACTAAATGAGCACCACCAGATCCTGTTAGGATTTAGAAATATATACACGGGCGTAGCCAGAAATTCTCAGTTAGGTGGGCCAATGCACTACTATATAATTAAAATTTTCAAATATATATAAAACAAGTATAATAATTTTTTTCTTCAAAATATAAGTCTTAGTCTATATTCTTAAGAGCATATTTATCTAAAGGACCAGAAATAATCTATAAGCTACAAAAAGCTTTTCCTCTTTTCAAAACTAATGGCTTGAGACTCTTTTGTTGGCGGGTGGAACCGTGGAACCTACACAATGTGCATCTAACTAGGTTCCTCTAACTCGTGATCCTACAAAACAAGAACCTAAAACCTGGTGCAGTACCAGCTAAAAACTCTTCAAATGGTTAAATAAGATATTTGTTGCGAGAGTTAAAGTGCTCCAATAGTAATTAGGGTTGCATTTCTCAACCTTCAGATCCATTTAAACCATTGATCCGATGAAAATAAATCTAAACCATTCAATTTGGTTCATTCTGGTCATCAATAATCTGATTTTGTTTCCAAAAACAATGGAAGCATTACGATCAATATGATTCCTGATTTAGAGACAAAGGGTTAAAAGAACTAACAAGAACTGAAGTGTGATAGTAATACATATGTATCTTTGTTTTTTATTTGATTAATTGCTAACACTTCTTATCATAGACTTATATTAAATTGAATCACTGTTATATACATCTTTTTTTCTGACCTAGCCCACATGTGAAACATATTAATAAAAAATAATATTCTAGTTCTTATTGGCATTTCTAATATTGTTACATTACTAGCAGGTTTAGAAACTAATTATGCACTATTGAACAGGTACGGAATGAGAACTATCATCATTATCATCCTTGCCTTTATCCCATGTGAAAGGGGTAGGCCACAGGAATTCTCTTTTTTCATTCTTTCCTATTATGTCTCTTCTTATATTTAATTTTTTTTAGGTCATTTTTAATTACGTCATCCCATGTATGTTTTTAGTCGGCTTCTTCATCGCTTACCTTCTCAGAAAACAACTCTTCCCCTTCTAACCATTGTATCTTCGGTTGATAAGGCTGGATTTAGGCCAACCTTTGTTATCATTGAACCATACCTTTAAGCAAGTGATGAGTGCCGAAATATGCACATTTCAGCCCTTAATCTTACGGTTGTTAGCACTTTAGTCCTATCTTTATTCATTATTTAGTACTTAACTGCCTTATTGTTATTTTTAAGTTACTATAGTGAAAAAGGGTTCATTCCAGTACATTAAAGCCCTTTTTGAAGTCAACCAAACAGCAGTGAGGAAGAAAAGGTCAAAAGTCAAAAATCACTATTTATGATCGATCGATCGAGGGAAATTTACGATCGATCATATGACGGGCTGGGATATTTAAAAAACGACCTCCTGGTTTCCAATTGAAGAAAGCCATGGTGCACGAGATTGTTGACTTTGGTGTACAGGGTCTGACTCATTTTGACTCCTTAGAGTCACCTATAAAAGGGAATTGAAGACTCTTTTTGAGATATAGAGATTTTGGGGGATCAAAGTGAAGAGCTTTCTCTACTTTCTCTCTCTAGAGTTTGCTCTCAAGGGTTGAAGAAAAAGGTGAAGCTAAGCATGGAGATGGCAATTGAAGCTATGAAGATGACATCCATCGTCTCTATGATCGGCTAAATCTTCACTTAGGGCATGGATGAGCCCTAAGCTTGTGTAATTGTATCTCGTCTTTCATTTATGGGGATTTCCAAGTTGTATATGTTGTTTGGTCCTGTGGATTCATACTTGATTGTACCAAGCTTTGTATTGATAAATTCTTCCAATTAATCTTCTAATTAACTATATGTTGTCTTATATGTGGTTGATGGTTGATTGATCTCTACATTGAGTACATTTTGTAATTGTATTCAATAATGGCCATGCATTAATTACATTGGAAACAATTGTTCTTAATTTGATGAATTATGCTTAGTCTTGATAGATTGTGCTACACCATTAGAATAATTGTAGTTAGGTATACAATTCATGCTTGATTTCGATAGTTCATGCTTATTCATTACAATTGTAGTATTTGCTTGCTTATTGATGTGTGCTTGTAGCCACATCCTTATTACAACTTGTTTTCCCCATTAATTGAAAGCATTTGGTGCAATTATTCGGGCGTAGTGGTGAAATCCATACCCTAAGTCCCTCTCACTCTTACTTTAATCCAATTTAGCTTTCATACAATCTCATTTGCATATCTAATTAGCTTAATTACATAATTAGTTTAAACAAACCAATCATCATCTTTTCAATCTCACGCTCATTAATGTTAAATTCAATCCAAGCCTATAGTCCTTGTGTTCAATCCCTACTCACTATACTCCAAATATAGTTGTGTAGTGGTTTTATAAATTCAAAATTGTTGTTTTCTGATTGTCACATTCTACACATCTAAATGCATTGATTGTGAGAGTGCATCAGCAAGCCTGGTCTATAAGGGCCCGTTTCCATGAGTAAAAGGGAAAAGAAAAGAAAGGATAATATTAATATGAAGGAAAAGAAAAGAAAGAAAAGAATGGATGGTGTATCTCTGTATTGTGTTTGAATAAGTAAAGAAAAAATGGGTGGAAAGAATAGAATTCACTCATACTCTGACTCACACTCGTGTCTGGGGAGAGAGAAGAAAGAAAAGTATCTTAACAAATTTATCACTATGTCCTCCTACATTTGACGTAGAATATTAGGTATGTTAGTTATTTTCCTACTACCACTATATATTATAAAGCTACAGATGTCTAAAACTAATAATTTCACTAGAAAGAAATCCACTTAGTTTTATATTCAAGTTTGTTCATTAATATATTAAAAATATATATTTTCAGAGTCAGGAAACTGTAAGTTTGAATGAGATTAGAGAGGAGCGTAAAAAGAATCCCCCGGGATTGAGATGTCATTTGTTTAATTTTGTCCTTCATCATTTCAAAAGTAGTATTGGTACTTAAACATTTTTCCCTGTTCCTCCCATTTTCCTCCACTTTTGAGAAAAATGCAAAATCAACTGTTTAGAACTTTAGAGGGTTAACTTATCCCTCCAAATCCTTCATTTTCCTCCCACAAATTTAAATCAAACACGAAATAGAATATCCCCCCTTTCCTTTTCTCTCTTTCCTTCCAATTCCCTCAATCCAAATAGGGACTGGGGACTAAAACAGAACCAGCCCAAATAGTTCTTATTCGGTTCAGGTTTTGTTGAGTCTACTTAGAACCAGTTTAGCGTTGCTGTAAGAATGAAAAAAGCACTTTTATCATT